CCTAGCTCCAGCCTGGACTAGCTGTCTGCCCCAGGCAATTGACTTTTCTGTGCTCTTATTGTAAAATAGTAATAATAGTAGAAACTATGCTGGAGTCTTTAATAATTAAATAAGATACTGTACATGTCACTGGTGTGAAACTTCTCCTCCTGGACATCTGCCAGGATTGTCCTGCCCTGCCCTGCCCCTCCCTTGAAGTTAGGTGGGGCCAAAGCAATGAGTGGAGAAGTCTCAGGTGCCTCTGCTGGGCAGGAAGTTTTTAGCAGGTCTCTGCTCTTGCCCTGACTACCAGCAACATTCCAGGTGCTGGAAGCTCTGTCACTGCCTGGGTTCCTTAACAGATGCACAGCACACTGGTTGAAATGAGTAAATCCACCTTATTGTTTAAACCACTAATGTTATGAGTTTATTACCATAGCCAAGCCTAGCACCTTCTGACTGGTGCACCATAGGAACAGTCTTGACTGCAGACCTCAAGTTCAATTTCAGCTAAAATGAGCAAGATTGCAGAATGTCAGCTCTGCCCACTGGGACACCTGTGCCACAAAGATCTGTGAAAGCATTTGGATATTGAATATGGAACATGCAGCTCCTTTGTGGGTCTGTCTGTAAAACCACCCTCACATGTACTGTTAACTGGGAAATGAGGGCCAGTTTAAAGGACCCTACCCTCTCCTCATATTGGGTTCAAGCAGGGTTTCTTTAAACAAAGGTTTATTGTATCAGCCTTGACTAAGCAGGTGATTATCTGTCCCTGTGTCTGATCGCTCTGTGCCCCTGTGCCCCTCTGTGTCCCCCAGAGCCCCAGGGGACTCCTTACATCTCAGTACCCTTAGTTCTCCAGGTGTCCGTGTGAAATGTCATAGGAGCCAGCCCCCCATTTGAAGCCTGAACAGTGTGTTCAAGCTGCTCTGGTAATGACTGAGTTGTGCTTGGCATCCCAGTGAGTAAGGCCTTGTGCTGGAGGACGGGATTATTGCAGAGATGAGTCAGTGTCACTTTTGACGTCTGTCCAGAGCTTAGGCCTTTCCTTAGCCCTTTGTTCCAGAACATTGAGGTGACAGTGGAAATGTTTCTGCTGCCAGAAGGAAAACATGATTAGGAATGGCTTTGCACTCAGATGCTGGTGGTCCTCCATTTGCGTAGGATACCACGATGGCCATCATTGCAAGAGAACCTAAAGAGCCCTGTGGCCATTTTTGAAAAACGCATTATTTCTGCTAGAACAGTAGTACATGTTCATTGTGTTGTAAAACTTCAAGAATACGAAATCCAAATAGAAAGAAAGGTTCCTCATAAACCCAGGGTACAAAGATAACCGTTGTTAACACTGCAGCTTCTTTTCCTTTCATTTTTTACATACAGATAACGTTTTTAAATGAAATTGGGACAATTACAATAGCAAACATTTATGGAAACCGTTCTCTGTGCTGGGAAGTCCTTAAGCACTGTACATGCTATCTCATCTAGTCCTCACGATAACTCTTTGAAGAGTCATTATCTCCATATTTCAGTAGAGGAAATTGAGCCACAGAGAAGCTGAGTCATTTTTTCCAGGGGCATCCAGCTCAGAAGAGGGGGGCCATGGTGAAAATCAGAGCAGCCTGTCTCAAGAGCCCAGGTATTGACTGTTCTGTGATGTTGCCTCACAGGACAGGAGCCTGGAAGGCAGCTTGTGCAATGTTAACCCTGAGCTGTCTGGTTCTGTCTCCTGATTCTGTTCAATAGGAAGTCAAAGCTGCAGCGTGACTTGATTTACCTGAGAGCACGCAGACGGCACATTTAGAGCCAAAACTAGAGCATGTGTCTCTCGAGCCACAGAGTCCATGTGCACATCGGCTCTGGTCATCCATGAGCTTTCGTCCTCCCACACCCCAGCCCAGAAACCAGCACCATACACTACCTCAGAGCAGAGTTCGCACTACATGCGGGACAGCAGGCTCGCACAGAACTTCTCCCCAGCATGTTCACAAAATTTCAGATTATGTTCGGGCATGTGTGAGCATCAAGCGATGATGTCTATAGCTGACTCTTAATTACCCTGCAGAGCTAGGGCTATAAAAAATTGAAAGGTGTGGCCCAGCCGTGGTTCCAACTTCTCCCCTTCACCAAACATGGTTAACTGAGATTTGCTGACGAACAGTAGGATTGATTGGCACTTCAAATGCAGTTGCGTTCCCAACCTGGACTCTGCAGGACATGCCAAGCATTGTTATAACTTAAAGTGGGCCAGAAGTCAGCCAGTTGCCTGTGCGTAAACATTTCTGCGTATGCAAGGTTGTCCTTCCCAGCAATCTGGAAGAGAATAAGGCCACTGTATTGAGACTCTGGAGTTGGGTGCCAGCTGCCGCGGGCTGGGAGATAGAAGGTAGAAGGAAGGGTGATGACTTACTGCTCTGTTCAGTAAGGTAAGATATAAAAATTTCTCTCTCTTCAAAGGTCTATGGACTTCTCAATTGAAAATACCAAGTAGGTTGATTGTTTTAAAATAACTCAATTTTATCTGAGCTCCAGAAGGGCAAGAACTAGTTCTTAATGTATTGCACAATGTTGAGCAGAAAAAAACAAGGAGAGTACATGTGTGTAATAGAACTAATGTATGCTGTGGAGGGGAGAGGCTGCAGGTTACTGGTGGAGGTGATAGAGTCCTGGTCTGTGAGGGGAGCTTCTGTTCTGTTCTTTAACTGGGTCTTGGTTACACCATGTGTTCAGTTTGTGAAAATTCATCTAGCGTTATACTTATTAAATATACTCGGTGCATCGGGTATACTTCAACTGGAGTTTAAATAGTCCTCACTTGTATATGTTACAGAAAATCTCCATTTGATTGAAGTGATGTACAGTTTATTACCTCGGTATTGGAAAAGTCTCTCTACTTGAAATTGTCAGGTCTATATGGGCATAACTTCCAAGGTCTTTTTTTTTGATAAATATATTAAAAATAGGTCTCAAGTGACTGCATGGCAAACTCTTGAATAAAGAATCTTCAGTAAACATTTATTGATAGTTTCCTGTGAAGAGGAGACTACAAACTTAGCATTATCACCATTTGCTTTTCATCACTTCCGACAGCACTCAGAAAACTTCGTAGAGGTAGCATTTGAAATTGATCTCATAGAATATGTAGGATTTTGAAGTGGGTGGATAATAGACATGGCAAATATATGTAAGAGGATATCCATAGACAATCCGCATACGTTCTGGAAACTTTAGGTTATATGGTTCACTTAAGACGGATGGCCTCTGTCAGGGGCAAGGTGAGGCCTCAAAGGTAAGCCTGGGCATTAAAGTGGCCAGGTTGTATTATTTAATTTAGGGAGCCAAAGAATGTTGCTGAGAAGAAGAGTCATATAATCAGATCAGTAGCCCCAGTGAAATCAAACTGCCAGTGTCGTGCTTGCAGTTACCATTAACACCCTGTCTACCCAAAATAAACTTTTTCTAGGGTTAGTGCATTCCTCGTTACTGTAATTGGAGCCTGCTCCTATTTGGGTCCACAGTGAGATCTTGACCAGGTGAAGTCACAGTTCCCCTGTCCTTTTATTATTCATCTTGTTTTCTAGTCTTACAGTGATTTGACACTCACTTCTCTCTGCCCTTTCTTATGTGCAACTGTTCTGCCAGATCAAACACCCTGTGTCTCTTCTTCATGGCAGAAATGTGTGTATTGCAGGAGAAGGGCCAAGAAATCATGTAAACCTACTGTAAATGGTGAAGGAGGCCAGACTCATCATCCTGGGTTGTGTCCACTGTGCTCTGGGCTCTTTCCTCAGGGAGCGAGCACAGGGTGGGAGTTTCCAGTGGCAAAGTATTAGTACTTATTGTTGGATGTGATCCACATTTGCGTCTGGGACACTAGACAGTGTGAGGTCCGTTAATATCTTACATCTGAAAAAGATAATTCGTGCAGCATATATTGTCCCATTTGATTTCTTTTGACTATCAAGGCATTATTCTAATCAAAGGGTTGTTACTTGGCCAATAAGATACTTCAGTCTAGATTGTATGAATCTTTGTTTAGAGATGATTTTCAGACTCTACAAAGACCCACTTGTATTCCTCTAGGACGGAGGAGTAGAATATCCCGATTCAGAAAGAAGACCAGAGTTGGGGGGATTTAAATACAAATCCTGGCTCTAAGCCTCAGATTCCATAGAATATATGGATCAATCATGTTCTCTGCCCAACATTGTAGTGAGAATCAGACAAGCCAACCCTTCTGAATAGCCACAGTGCATGGCACACAGATTGCATTTGCTTGTCCCATTCTAGAGCACAAACACCCCCCAACCCCCATGTCAAGATGCTCGCTGCCACACTGCAGTTCTTTTCCCCAGATGGCCCCTGAGTGAGAAAGTATTTCTTATGGCCTTGTTATTATCGGTGTTTGTTTTTTAATCATGGTGGTTGTGACTTGGGGTTGTTGGTTTCCACTTCTAATAAATATTGTGGTGTTACTTGATTATTCAATTTAATATTGTGCCATATTATTCCATCATAGCTGTTTAACGGTGTCATTAAAAAATAGTCTTATGTTGATGAATGTACCTGCTGAAATTTAACTTTTTCACTTTTTAAAAAATTCTCTGTTAAATGATTAAGTTCTGAATTAGATGTATTTCCCACAGTGATAAAGTTCACTGTGAATGAGGCAGGGCAGGGCAGGTATTCCAGGTACCTGGGCACTTTGGGAAACTAGGACTGACTGGTAATTTTATTCCGTTATGAATTGTCTACCTGACAACCAGCAGTTACCGTCTAATTGGGCAATATTAGGTTGGATCTCCTGGGAGAACTGAATCTCGGTTAGTTTGCATGGATACAAGGAGGAGTTGGACTACCCTGTATTCAACTGGAGAGGATTAGTAGAGATTTTTATCCTATGACTACAGTTAGAAAATCTGGGACTTCAGGTATCTCTATTGTACCTGCACAGATTCCCTCACAGTAAACCACCTCTTTGATTTCAGATCTTAAAGTTCTCTTCCTTGATCTTTCAGGTGGAACGGCATGATATGAACACCCTGAGTCTACCCCTCAACATCCGCCGAGGGGGGTCAGATACCAACCTCAACTTTGATGTACCAGATGGCATCCTGGACTTCCACAAGGTCAAACTCAGTGCAGATAGCCTCAAACAAAAAATTCTAAAGGTAACAGAGCAGATAAAAATTGAGCAAACATCCCGGGATGGCAATGTTGCAGAATATCTGAAGCTGGTCAGCAGTGCTGACAAGCAGCAGGCCGGCCGTATCAAACAAGTCTTTGAAAAGAAGAATCAGAAATCAGCTCACTCCATTGCCCAGCTGCAGAAGAAGTTAGAACAGTACCATAGAAAGCTCAGGGAGATTGAACAGAATGGAGCCTCCCGAAGCACAAAGGACATTTCCAGAGACAACCTGAAGGAAATCCAGCACGCCCTGAAAGATGCCAACGCCAAGTCCCGAACAGCTCCCCACAACATGGAGAGCAGCAAATCCAGCATGCCGGGGGTGTCCCTCACTCCTCCTGTGTTTGTCTTCAATAAGTCCAGGGAGTTTGCCAACTTGATCCGGAATAAGTTCGGGAGTGCCGACAACATCGCTCACTTAAAAAATTCCTTAGAGGAGTTTAGGCCCGAGGCTAGTGCCCGCGCCTACGGGGGCAGCGCCACCATTGTCAACAAACCTAAGTATGGCAGTGATGATGAGTGTTCGAGCGGCACTTCCGGCTCCGCAGACAGTAATGGGAACCAGTCCTTCGGGGCGGGGGGGACGGGCACGCTGGACAGCCAGGGGAAGCTCACCATGATCCTGGAGGAGCTGAGAGAGATCAAGGAAACCCAGGCACAGCTGGCTGAGGACATCGAGGCACTGAAGGTGCAATTTAAGAGAGAATATGGTTTTATCTCTCAGACCCTCCAAGAGGAGAGATACAGGTATTTCAGATTGTTCTCTTGGAATTCTTTTTAGACGTAGATCGCTGACTGCAGACTGATTTCTTGAATGTCTGAGAAGCTAGCTGGTGGTTGTCTTTTTCCATAAACTTGGCATTTGTGAGCCAGTAGTTCTTCCTCATACTTCACGATTCTGAGTTTTATAATTTCTGACTTATAGCTTGATAGTTGAGCGTTCACTTCTGCAGCGCATATACTAAAATTGGAATGATAGATAGAGGTGTGTGGGTTTGTTCAAATATCACTATATAGTCTGTGACTTATGTGCTTATTAAGTTGATTGAATAGACTTTATAAAAAGTTCATTATACTAATTCATAGACCTTTATTTCATTTTGCTCCATAATAAATGCCAATAAAAAAACGACTTCATTGTCCAACAAGATAGGTTTTATTTAGTACCTAAATTTTAAAGTTTTTATATAGCATTTTTTATAGGTACTGTATTTTGCTCATTCAATCTTTCACCCTAAATATAGAGCTTTCAAGAATTAACTTGAGATTCAAGTATCAATTTAAATCTTGTGGATTTTATTTGCTAATTTTGAAAGTCAAGTGTTTTTCAGGCTTAACACGTATTTATCGCTTATTAAATGTGTATGGCTAAATATGAAGTGATAATCCCACCATTTTCTCAATGAAAAGATCCCCCAAAAGATTTTTGAGCAAAACGTATGTTAACTTCTAAAAATGTAGACTAAAAAAGTGAGTGCCTGTCACATACTGTAACATTTGCATTTAGAATTAGCTTGCATGCTGTTTCATATCTGATATCTGGTTTTATATCATGTTCATTTAGAAATGAGACTTTTTTCAACTCATGATTTATGTAACAGTTTTTTTTTAACTTTCTGACTTGGGTATCTTTGTCACATAAGAACTATTTTTGAGTCATAGCTTTTCCGGATTATATTGCCATTAATTTCATCTCAATGGTTTGTCTAAATTCAGATTTTACCCCAAGTCACAGGTATCCATTTATGTAAATTTAGGGTAGTTTGTTTTCATGTTTCACATAATTATTGATGTTTGATTCTTAGCCTTCCTACTGCTTACTTGAAGAGATCTCCAAAAGGCTATTCACGGTACCAGCATCAGACAGCTGTGAAGTCCTATCTGATAATAGTCATTAAATATGTATTGTTTTCTTATCTCTTTTTTTTTTAAATGATTCTATCAAGTGACCTATATAAGCATCTAAAAATGACAGTGGTCAGAGTCATTCAAGGCTGATGCATCTTCCCCAAATAGTGCTGCTTATTTCATTTTTTAAAAAAATTAAGATTTTAAGTATAAAATAAATCCCTGTTCTCTGAAGGGGTGGGAGATGGGAATAGGAGTCTTTGTATTTCTGTTACATTAGATTTATTCTTTTGGAAATGCCACTTGATACACCATGTACAATTTGTAATACGTAATTTTTTTTATTGGCATTTAAGTTCCAAAAGCTAGAAAGTGTGTTCAGTTTAGCACTGGGAAATGGTAGAATTAGCTTGAGTATAAAGGTTAGCTCTTTCCCTATAGTCTCTAAATGAGAGCTGTGACTGCCAACAGGTAGGCACAGTGGGGTGCAGATGAGGGAGGGGCCATCAGAGTTCCAGTGAGGCCTTGCCTGGGGCCACATCCTGGATAGTCTTGTCTCCTAACCCGCCATGGTAAATGTACCAGCCAAAAAGAAATGTCCTGTCATCAGTGCTGCCAGCCAAGCTGCTAATCTGATGTGGGTGTAAAAGCCAGGTTTGGTTTGCATTAAACCTCAGCAGTGAGGACAGAGTCAAGACCTCAGAGACCAGTCCTTTCTAGAGCTGGAATTCAGTGTTAACCCAACAGCAGGTTCTCCACACTCTTTTGAAAACCTGGTCTGCCAGGGGATGGAAGCAAACGGGGCAATGGCAGCGGTAAGATAAAAAGGATGTCCTGCTAGAATGTGCTGATGGGGGCCTTTGAAATGTCGCACTCAGTCAGTTCCTCTCTTTGCAAAGGTACGAGCGACTGGAAGACCAGCTCCATGACCTGACCGACCTGCATCAGCACGAAACAGCCAACCTGAAACAGGAGCTGGCCAGCATTGAGGAGAAGGTGGCCTACCAGGCCTACGAGCGGTCACGGGATATCCAGGTACCTTTCCTCTTGCTGTTTGACACGCCCACTGGATCTCCCCAGCTTTCAATTCATTTAAAAAACTAAAGTGTCTCACTGTAAGCCCCATAGGAACTTCTGGCACTGGAGGAAAATGTTTTCTCTGCACAAACATTTCTTCTCCACCTCATTAACCCCATCAGCTCATGGTATTGATTTCTGAGTAAGGAGGCTGAACTGAGTAAGGAGGTTTACCTTCTGCCTAAATTAATTACCACATATTATTATCTACCCCAAGCCCATCACCTATATATTTCCCTTCCTCCTACCACCACAATTTTTAAAATGTTTTAGACATGATAGAGACCCTGCCTTTAAGAAGGGTCTGTAAGACCCTGCCTGGGGGGAGTCAGGATTAGTTCAGCTGCCCTCCAGCTCAAGACACCATGAACAAGGGCCAGCTTACATGGCATAGACTGAGAACCACAGAAATTTAGACGCTCTGGGTCTCCTATTTACCAACTGTGTGGCCCTGAACAAGCCTTAAGTCTGTCTGCTCATTTGTAAAATAAACGCTTTCAGGTTTGTAAGAATTTTAAGCACTTGTATGTGTATCATATGCCAAGCCCTCACAAACCACTAGACTTGTGTCTTTTCTTCCCAATCACTCCTCACAGCTACCTTTTATGTAGGTTCTGTTACTCTCCCCATTGGTCAGATGAGGAGACTTAGGCCCAGAGTGGTTAATTGACTGGAACAAGGTTTTTCAAGTAGTCCTGAGTGAATGACTGCCCTGGAGAAGGTAGGGCTCAAAGGGGTGGGTGGAATAGGGGTAGGTGGAAGGAAGAGGTAACTGGGTCAGGATGAACAATGGTGTGTTCCAGCATTAATGTGCTCTGGTGCTATAAGGAAACAGGATCTCTTTCCTCTCCCACCCAGTTCTACTGAGATAGAATTGACATAGAACTTTGTATTAGTTTGAGGTGTACAGAATAATGATTTGATGTGTATATAGTGCAAAACGAGTTCCATTAACATGCATCACCTTGCAGTTACCTATTTTTTTCTTGTGGTGAGAGCTTCTAAGATTCATTCACCTAGTAGTTTTCAAATATGCAACGCAGTATTGTCCATTCTAGTCACCAGACTATGCATTCCATCCCCAGTGCTTGTTTATCTTATACCTGAATGTTTATACCTTTGGACTGCTTTTACCCGTGTCCCTTACCCCTCACTGCCTGCCTGTCAACCACTAACGGCTTTGCTGCTGCTTTCAGTTTGGCTGTTTTAGATTCCACATGTAAGTGAAATTATATGGTATTTTTTTTCCTCTGTCTAATATTCTTCATATAGGAAAATGCCCTCAAGGTTTTTCTTTGTTGTCTCAAATGACAAGATTCCTTTTTATAGCCACAAATTCCTTTTTATGGCCGCCTACTATCCCATGTACAGTCATGTACTATATAACTATGTTTCAAGGATGGACCACATACATGACAGTGGTCCCCATGTATAACCTATATTCCTGGAGGGCTGTGCCATCCATGTTTTTATAAATATTTCTCAGAATGTATCCCCTCTATTAAGTGACACATGACTGTATACCATGTTTTCTTTCTTCAGTCATCTGGAGGTGGACACTTAGATTGTTTCCATGTCTTGGTTATTGTAAATAATGCTGTAGTGAAGGTAGGGGGCGGGGGCAGATACCTCTTTAAGATAGTGATTTCATTTCCTTCCCAGAAGTGGAATTGCTGGATCATATGGTAGTTCACTTTTTAATTTTTGAGGAACCTCCAAACCTTATTCCATAGTAGCTGTACCAATTTGATTACTTTAAAAAAAGTGTATTCTTCAAGAAATGCTCAGCTTCTTTTGTACAAATTTCCTTTATAGGCAGTGTTCTGAGGGCTACTGGTACTTTGTATCCTACTTTCCAAGGAAGAAAACTGAAACAGAGATTTCCCTCCAGTGACTGAGCTGGAATTCTAGCTGCCCATGTTTTGTTCCACTCTGTGATGAGGGCTGATCATATGCTAACCCCAAATGTCACCATAAACAATTCTAGGAGCCAGAGCATCAGAGCTGGTAGGAAATGTTTGCCTCTGAAAACTGTGATACAGAAGACGGTTGGGGGATTCTGCCATGCCCTGGGCTAGGAGGCTTAACCTCCCTGCCAGCTGGTTTTATTATTTAAAATCAGTTTAAATGTTAAGTGTTGCCTGGTGAGCAGTGTGGTCAGTATGGTAGAACATTCTATTTTAATAGAGCATGTCTGGGATGCCAGGGGGATGTCTGAGTATGTGGTTTTTTTATTTAGTGCGATGGTTTGGGCTAATTTTGTTCTTCCTTTTTTAAAGAAAGTACTTATGGGATGAAAGGGTAAGATAAAGGAACAGACTTCACAAGGGGAGCTTAAAAATCAGAAGAGTTCATTTCAACATTTTCTGGCTTCATCTCCAGCTCAGAAGTACAAAGGGGGACATCCTTGTGAGTGACTGGAGGGGGTTTTCTTGTCCAGAGAACTACCATATACTGGCTCAATGGACCTCAGCTTCCTCATCTGTAAATGGAGATGTTACTGGACTCTGCTTCAGTACGCTATCAAAAATATTTAATGGGAAAATACTTAACTGAGTGCTAAAGTCTTTCCCTGACACATTATAAGCAGTCAAAAAATATTATATTCTTACAGTCAGGGGACAGATTAGTATAGGTGAGGTAGCTGTTGCCTACAGACAAGCAAGGCTTTTGTTTTTAAGCAGCTGAGTTTTGTCTTTTTACCCTGCATTCCCAATTAAAAGTGTTGAAAAGATAATCTTTCTTCTTTCCTTGTCCCCCGTAAGTTAAATCTGGACCCAAGGAAGAACTAAAAATTGTGGAGCTGAAAAATACTTATGTAAACTATTGGACATTAATAAACAAAGTGAGGCTTCTGAGGTTAAAAGGATGGGAGATAAGGAGAAAGGGTCAAGCAGGCTAGGAGGGACAGTGGTGGCAAATATTGAAAATAAATTAACTTTATTGCCTGAAAAGTCTTTTGGACATTTTGCTTGAGGTTGCATTTCATTTGCAGACCCACTTGCCTGGCATCTTGGTTTAAACAAAAAGACTTTTTGTAAGACTGAATATCTCTTAGTGGATCCTTTGACTAAAATTCCTTGCAATTCAAACTTAATTTCCTTGGATTTTTCTTTTGGTAAAAAAATTTGACAGAAGTACCAGGATCTGTCTGTTTCTATATGTAACTCATCGCTCTGATCAAAGTTGAATGGCTCTGCCTCAAAAGTTAATCTTCTGGGCCTCCCTGGTGGCACAACAGGTTGAGCACTGCACTGTGAAGCTGTCCACAGCCTATGCAGTGTGGGTTCGATTCCCAGCCAGCCAGGGAGATTCCCACATGGCGCAGCAGCCCTCTGCAGTGTCTTTGGTCCTTCTGCCTGTTCTGCTCTCCGCTCTGTCTCTGGTGAATCCTCTCACCCTCCCGTGCCTCTGGCCTGTCCCCCAGCTCTTGTACAAAAATAAATCTTTAAAAAAAAAAAAGTTAATTATCTGGTTCTATCACCGTTTCCCTGCCATGTCTGAAAGGGAGGAAACCACAGGCCGTCGTTGGAAGGAACGTGATTCTGGGGCACATGCCTGGGATGGTAGAAAGTCTGCGCTTAGAATGTGAAGATCTGCGAATGTTATCCTTTTTGTTGGTAGCCTGTACTATTGGAAGTTACTATAGCAACAGAGAACCCTGTTCTTTGGCCCTTCATGCCTATTCACCAGAAGAAAAGCAAATCAATGTTGGAGCCATTATGTTTGTTTAAAACCTGGAAAGATGGCTATAATTTAATTGAGCAAACACCTATTGGTAAATGAGTTTTAGACAGCAGCCTAGTAAACTAAAACGGGCTCATTGTACTGCTGCTGGTTGGGCCCTCTTCTCCTTCAGAGGTGAAGGGTTTTTCTCTCAAACCTCCAATTCAGGCACTAGCACCAGTTTCTTCTGTGTTCAGCCAGTGTGTGATGCCTGCTTCCATGCCTGCCGCTGGCTCCATGCCAAGGAGCACAGCAACAGCAAGACAGCTCGGCCTCTGTCCTCACAAAACTGTGGATTCTTCCTTGGGGTGGTGGGCTCCAGACTCTGATGAGTCTAGGACCTGATAATTCAAGTGAAGTCTGAAAGGTGAATGGGAGATTGACAGGGGAGAAGAAGGGAGTGAGCAGGCAGAGTACACAGCATGTGCAAAGGCCCCAAACATGTGCCTTTTCAGAATTTAAAATAACGACTGTGGCCAGAACACAGTGAAGGCAGTAGGGGCCGGCATTAAGTGGGACAGGAGAACGTGGCTGGGCCTGGGCCGTGTTCAAGATTTCTCACTCCCTCATGAAAAGGAGTGACATCAGATCAGTATCTTTCAAAGATCGCTTGGACTGCTGTGGGGAGTAAGAAGTGTAAGGGACTTAACATAGGTTTATTGCAGGCAAGACTGGTGACACAGACTCTATGAGAGAAACATGAATCAGTTGAGTCAGACACTGGATGTTGCCCCAGTGGGTTTGGGTGATGGACTGTGCGAGGACAATGCCATTCTCAGTAGTGGAAAAAAGGACTAGTAGCTGGCGATTCCGCCTGCTCTGTGGCTGAAAGTAGTCAATTCACAAAATGAAACCCTAACCACCCTCCAGTTTGTCCCCAAGGCCACCAACAGATGCAGTGTCCTTAAGCACTTTATTTAAATACAGGTGGAGCCAAAATACTTAGCCATAATTCCTCAGGTGTTGTACTTTGTGCTTGCTCATCCTATCCACGAATAACAGGATGAAATGAGTCTGGAGAGTCTTGCTTGTGTCATCATCATACTGTGTCCACCATCATCATCGCTGTCGGTTCAGCCATGTGAAGCCACCTGGTCAGCCAGCACTGAGCTGGGGGCTTGTGTCCACCTGAACCCAGGCTCCCGGGCTGCCTGTGATCTCAACTGCTCTCTCCCTCTTGCCCACAGGAAGCCTTAGAATCCTGCCAGACTCGCATTTCCAAGCTGGAGCTCCACCAGCAAGAGCAGCAAGTCCTGCAGACCGACACCATGAATGCCAAAGTCCTCCTGGGGAAGTGCATCAACGTGATCCTGGCCTTCATGACCGTCATCTTAGTGTGCGTGTCCACCATCGCCAAGTTTGTCTCGCCCATGATGAAGAGCCGCTTCCACATCCTTGGCACCTTCTTTGCTGTGACTCTGCTCGCAATATTTTGTAAAAACTGGGACCATATTGTGTGTGCCATAGAAAGGATAATAATACCTGGATGAAGCCACTGGTTCCAGTTCTCAAAATCTTTCAGATTCTTATTTTAATGAAAACTCTGTGCATATTACCAAATTTTTTTAATGAACGTTTGTGCCAATGGAGGATTCCAAGAAGGCCTGGGCTGCGCGTTGTAAATAACCACAATTCTCTTAAATCAGTAGCGGTCGCCAGCTCAGTCCCTGTACTTGGTTAATGTGAATCTGTTTCAAAGCCCTCCCTTCCTTGCTCACTGCCTTAATCAAACCAGATTTCCTGCCCACCTGACTAGCACAGCTTGGCAAACCTCTGGTTATTGAGCACTTGGCATAGTGGCCCAGAAAGAAGGGATTTTAAATCTCTCTCACATCTGTCAAAATTGAACTTCACTGTTAGTGACTGCCTTTTCCCTGAGTCCGGTAAGCACCCAGGAGGTAGCAGGACTGGGCAAGGGAAGAGGCACAGGTGTGACTGTGCTGAGCACCTGTGACCTATGAGAGCACAGTTCATGCCCTGTGCCCCATTCCACTGGTCCCAGGTGACCAGAGGTTCCCTGTGCACCCATGTCCGTAGTGGCTAATTGTATGTTACTGTCTATAACGTGGAACTCTTCTAACACACCTGTTCACCCATCAGATGTCTAACTGGGTATTGTTCTGTTGCACTTTAAATGATAAGACACAGGATTTATGAATGGGGCTTTTGCCGCCTTATACCCAAGGAGCCCCACACCCGAATTGCCTGCCCATTGAATGCCCTGCCTTCAAAGTATGCAGAAATGCTTCCAGATCTCTCATCAAACTGTGGCTTTAACATTCATTTGGGGTCTGGTAAACACTAGCCGGGGAGTTTGTTTCAGCAAATCTGAACTGTGACAAACCCCCTTGGAGGATGGGATGCACTTTATTCCCTGTGGGGGCTCGCAGAGCTTACTCAGTAAACAAGAACAAGCGTTGCTCGCATTGAAGGGGTCTTTTCTAAGGACAGCAGAATCATAGTGTGTAATGCTGCAGTGCACTGAGGCAGGAATGCTGGAAACAGGTGGAAATTAGGACCCTAAAAGGACCAGCAAGAATAAAATAAATTTGACACAGTGTCTAACCCCAGATGGCACAGTGTCTTACTGAAATAGGTTCTAAGGTGTGAGAGAATGCGCACACTTCCCAGAAGTTAACATCTGGGGCCTGCTTGGCAGATGCCAGTCATTGTCTTCAGCCCAGAGGATACTTTTCTTCAAATTTCTTTCTCTGTGTACATATAAAAAGGAAGACATCTGGGAGATTTGAATGCAAATTGTTGTTCAGCCCCACCTCCTGCCAACACTGTCCTTTGCTGATGGCGTAGATGTATGTTAGTGTACATTTTCTTCTGGAAGACATCAAAATCACCTGATATAAATTAGGTGTGATCTTTTACAAATAGCTGCTTTTAGGGAAATTTCCTGCAACAATGTGACGATGTGCTCTGGTTTGAGAGAGTGGAATAGTTGAATATTTGGTAGACGTTTGGTGTGTGTGAGAGACTCATACAGCTTAAGCCTTCTATTTTAAGTTTACAATTCAGTGGTTTTCGTGCACAAACTATCAACTGTCATTCCTATCTAGCTCCAGATTCAAGCTTTTCAAAACCAATTAAAAAGTTTCTTTAAAATCTCGGGTTATCAAGTATTTTGGATTTAAGAAAGAGGGAGTTATATTCCCAACCCCCCTCATGGCTGGCAGACACCCCCTTGGTCTCCCAACGTGCCTATAAATACACTGTGATCCATCAAATCAAGGGGACAGAAATGGAGTCCAGGGAGGAGGGGGGAATGGAAAGTCTGCTTCCCTGTGACTTGTCGTTGTCGTGGCCAGCCCGACCTGTTCCCCTTGACCTGTGGGCATCAGCCTCCACGTGGGCTGGAGACTGATTGTAACATATACCCTGGAGTCCACCAGGGCCTGGGGTAGGCTCCTCTTGATCTCTGAGTCTTTCTCAGGTACCTTGGACATGCCAGGGGTCAGGGTAGGTGTAGAAGCTGCTTTTAGAATGAGATTGCTCGAGGTCAAGACTCTGAGGCAGTCCAAGGATGCTCAGGCCTCCTGGTGCCACCACACTCCACCTCCTTGCTCAGCCTAACAGGTTTGCTTTGCTAAATCCCAGGCTAGTGGTCAGTGTGTCTTCTTCCCAGAGAGAGAAGTAGAGAAGAAAATGGAAAAAGCATAGCTCTCCTCCTCCAGTCTGCAGCTGTCAACAGAAACTTCTAGAAACTGTCTCTGTTCTGAATATGGTAAGGACCTAAATCATCACACCTGATCATAAATTCTTTTCAAAGAATTCAGATTTCTAGTGATTCTCATTAGATATCGAATAACTTTTCATTTTGATATGATCAGCCTACATGGCGTATTTATTTTAGTGTCTTGTTGAAAGTTCATGAAGCTTTTTAATAAGATAATACACTCTGTGGAGACTCTGACTCTCAGCAATTTATCCTTTCCTAATGAGGAAACCCTCTGCTAGTTGTTTGCTACATAAGGAGATTAAATAAAATTTTATAAATATTCCATTAAAAATAGTGATCCAACTAGAACATATCCTAGAATGAGATTTTTTATTTACATGTAAGTCAGCTAATCCTTTTCCCCCACTTTCATTAGTAGTAAACATCTTGTTCATAGCTGAAGAGGAAAAACAGCTGTTACTGAGGGATATAGGATGCTCAATTCTAGCTCTGGATTTTGTCTATGTATGACATTACTTTCATGATTGCCAAGATAATAAGAGTGTGCTGGGGACAAAACAAAAACTTTAAAATGCTCTTCTGTGGGATTTGAATTGGTGATTCCAACTTTTATTTTGAGTATGATGAAACCAGAACAAAACATTTTCCCCTCCTAACCCCCCACTCCCCCCTCAAAATTTGAAAACCACAATGAAACAGTAACTAAAAGCACTCTGTTGATTTTGGCCTGGCTAGTCCCAAGTTTCCAGCATGTACTATTAGTGGTTTTGCTTGTATGATTTCATCTGTAGGGTGAAAGCTCCTGAATCGCCACCCCATGTCATTTCATCTCATAATGTTACTGTCTCTTGCTGTCAATTAGCATCCATGTGGTTTTAGCCCTTCTCCTGCTTTGTCATTTCTTTTCATTTAAATGTTGCCCTTATGTGTATGTTTATGGCTTTGCCTTATTTCTAGCATATCAGGTCTCATTATGAGTCCAATAAAGATGGTGGGGGGCTAGATTCCTTTTGTATTATTTGGTTGGATGTTAGATACCAAAATATTTTGCATCAACTGGGAATATTTTTGTATTGAACCCAAATATAGTTATATTGGTTTGGAAAATATTTAAATATACTTACTAATATGAACATGTGTGATTAAACAACCTATTTTGCGTACTTAAACTTTTGAGGAGGAAGAAATTTTTAATTATTGAGTGTTAAAATTATTATTTTAAATACAGGGCTATATCTGTAGAGAGGTGTTTCAAGGAAAAGTTTAGCCCATGTGCTAAAGAAGGAATTGGTCTTAAAAGATAAATCACTGGAAAAAAAGAAAAGAGATTGATCTACTTACATCAAAAGTAGTTGAAACAAAAAATGGTACAGTTCACAAGAGTTTGGGAACCCATGGATACAAAGCAGAATGAACCTTATAATTGTCTGAAGTCTCTACAATTCTCTGTTTATAAGAAGCTGGGAAGAAATGTACCTTGATTGTTTTAGGGATGATCTGTGTGTTGCAATGCTAATTTATTTAAAGCCTATCTGCATTTGTCCTAAGAGGAGTTTTCCAACAAAATGTACTCTGTTTAAGCTCCTTTCGGCAGTTGTTAGTTAACAACTCTGAAAGTAGAAACTGGAAACATGTACTGTGAGATCTGTTGCAGAATTTCCATTTTGTGGAATACTGTGTAGTTCCATGTCAGTCTAAAATTATAAATTCTCTGTAGATCTTCACCCCATTGAAAGCAGGTGCCATTATTTTTTTTAAATAAACACTTGATGTTAGCTTTCACATTAAAGAGCTAGATTTCTTAATTTTTCATATTTGTCAGAGCCCATCTCAGTAGCAGACTTTGTGTGTGTGTGTGTGTGTGTGTGTGTGCAATCAAATTTTAAAAGTAGACTTGGTTTAAGGAGCACTTTCAGGTTCACAGCAAATGACCGGAAAGTACAGATTTCCTGTATACCCTTGTCCCCACTCATGCATAGCCTCTCCTGTCAAACATCCCCCCACAGAGGGTGCATTATTACCATCAGTGAACCTATGTTGAACCTACAAGGACACTGAAAGTTCATAGTTTATGTTAGGATTCACTCTTGTTCATTCAGTAGCTTTGGACAAATGTATAATGACATGCATCCAACATTACAGTTACAAAAAATAGTTTCACTGCTATAGAATTCCTGTGTGCTTTGCCCATTCATTCCTCTCTCCCCTCCCACCAATCACAATTCATTTTTAAGCTAATTTTTAGTCTTCTGTAAAGGCAGTTGGTGTGTGATATGCAGCTCCTTCCTCAAACCCTAGTGGGGGAGGGAGCAGGATGGATTATTCACAGTCAGTCCCTAGTACTGGGAAATGTGTCCTCACCTAGTGGAAAGAGTAGGTATGATAGGATGCTAAGGACAAAGCAGAAGCCATCGGGATGCAGAATGAGAAAGATGGTGACAGCAGCCCTGTGACAGGTGTGCACATGACCAGTTACAGGAGAGTGAACTTACCCGAGACAGAAGCTCTGCCCTTAGCGGGGTACCTCTTGTTTGGTGCTTGAGTATTTACAAAGCACTTTATTTTTCATAATGTGTAACTCATCCGAAGGCCCATGTGGGCATCACTCTCCCTGACACATGGATGAAATTGACACATGAGCTTTTCTCCAGGTCATGGTTAGCGAAGGAGGGAGTGGGGGCCCTCTGAGCTTTGCCTCTTCCTGATTCTGCCCTTTTGGTCCTCTGCCTCCAGGCAATGCAATGTCCTGAGGAGTTTACTGCATCGGTCATTCAGCACCCGCCATGCACAAAGTAATTAAAATGCTGGGATGATACACGAGTTCACAAATACATGAGCTCATTCTGTGAGCTGGAAAATAGAGCGTGTATGGGTCATTGGAAGTGTTAACGTGCGGCAGTTATTTTGCACACCTATTGTTATTTGCTGTATAAAGATACAAATACATAAAATGGAAATGATTGTAGTAAATGTGTGTCCAGCCCAAAACATATTCCCAAATGTTGATTTAGGGAAATCAAGTTAATTTTCTTTATAATATTTTGGTTAGTTGCGTTCTAGGCAAAAAGATATTGCTATTGGATAAAGCAGTACTTTCTGATTTTGAGTAGCATAGAGGCTAATAAAAAACTTTGTAGACACCTGAGAATGACCACTGTCAACACCTTTCAACTATCTACAGCCCTACGTAGGTGTGAACATGAGAGATAGAAACTTACAGGACACACAGGACCATTCATAGATACGGGATGACAGCTAACGTTCTTTGACCGTTTACTGTGTGCAATGCACTGTGCCCAATTCTCTGCATGCAAAATCAGATGTAATCGTTCTAATACCATTAGGCACCATTATTCCTGAAAAACAGAAGAGGAAATTGAGGTGCAGAGTGGCCAAATAACTAGCAGCACCACATAGTGGGTAATGGTGGGGGTATAGATTCAGCCCCAAGCTGTGTGACCCTGGAGCCCACACTAGTAACCACTACCCTGCACAGCAACAAGGGATTGAGCAGTTGGCTTCTTGCTCAGTTTCAGGAGCCCTGGAAGGGGTCACCTTTAAGTGTATGTCTGGAGGAGGCAATGCTGTGTTTGGAAGTTGTGCCTTTACACCTTTGCGTGGCATGTGCTTTGGTGAGGGCAGGTACCTGAAGCCAGCATCCGAGGTCTTTGTAAAGCCAAGGGCCAACAGACCAGTGGCTGAAGAGAATAGCCTGCTTCTAAAGCAACTTCTACACTTTCCTTTGCTTCCTGAGCTTCTTGGGGTGTGTAATTGGCAGTTGACTTGGCTGAGTATTTATCGGGTTTTTTTGTTTAGCTCTGAGACGGTGAAGTCCCTGGTGGCTTCTGCTTTGTGCTCCATGACATCTGCTACCATCTGTGGTGGCTACCTCTGAAATTTCTCTCCTTGCTAAACCAGCCGGAATCTCTCCCCTGCCAGGCCTCTCACTCGACTAACAGCAGGAATGAACGTGAGCCATGTTAACAGCTGTTTTGTTGGTGGTTACTCTACTCGCCAAGGCATTGGGAATTGGATGTTTTTTTTCCTGTTCTGTTTTAAAATAAGCTACTGAGTAGTACAAAGAGAATTCTTGCCTTGGTAAGTCCTACCAGTTAGAGATGCCATTTGCTGAAGAAATCCCCAGGGGTCTGACTGATTCTTGGACTTGTCTGATTCTTGGACTGTCCACATCACCAGCAGTGGTGCTGACAGTTGTCACTGTGGGTTTGCTCCCCAAAGAGATTTTTGATCTCTGTTCCCTTTTACTATCTCTGTAGTTTTAAACCCAGGCCATCTGGCTGTAGGGAACAGAGAACTAAAAGGCTGACTCCAAAATCCAGGCCACAGGCAGCACGTATTACACACCTATAACTCGGGGGCTTGGGCCAGCGGGGCCCTTTCAAACGAAAGCTTGATTCCCACACAGGGAATCTTCCCCAACACATTGGTCAGATTGTTGCAAGGTGACTTCCTGCTGTGCAGCGTTTGCCCTTGTCCACAGTCACCTCAGAGAGTCAATGAAAACCATCTATGGAGGCAGAATGTGGGCGGCCCCATCAGTCCATTCAACAAGAATATTTCCTCAAAGGAAAAGCTGGAAGAACCCGGAGGGTGACGGCTGGTGGCCGGCCCTCCCGGCGACTTGGAGAGTGGGCAGCAGCGTGTCACTGGTCATGTTGGAGGCGGGGATCCTGACTGACCTGCTGCACTGAGTGGCCTCGTGGGTGCCCAGTTCACAGAGCGGTTCATGGTCTCCCTGTGATGACCCCTCTCTGCTGGGCCACCTGACGTACTGTTTGCTGGCCTGCTTCAGTGGACCCGCCTTAGTGGGATCAGACTGAGCCAGCCAGCCCTCTGAGCCTTGCCGCTCCTTGGCAGCTATTTACATTTAGATGTCAGTCAGCACCTGGGTGCTCTTCTCAGAGTTGAGGTGGTGTGAGTCCATGTCACGGAGTGGCTTCTGCAGCCTTACAGGCAGGTGGCAAGTTCAGCTTGAAGCACGGGTGTGTCCCCTGGCCTGCTGTCTCATTCACCTGGGGAGATGTCTAACCTCTCAGCATCCCCCTTCCTAAACTACCCAGTGCCTGCAGTAGTGAGGTTCTGGCGGGATAAAGTGCTTACAATGGGCCCTTCCTTCATTTCACGTATTAACTGAGCACCTAGGATGTGTCAGGCACTGTTCTAGGCACAGGGGTGCCAAGCATGTGCCTGTCCGGGCTACATGCTGGTGAGAGGAGACAGGTAGGAAGCAAAAATCCTACATTTGGTGGCAGCGAGGGCCCTGCTGGAGCATTTAACCTAAAATTAAGACTTACCTTAATTCTTAGGAGTAAACTTCCTGAGTGGTGTTTTTGTTTGGCTTTTAGATTTTTTTCCCTGAATTCCAGATATTTTTTCCCCTGAATTCTACATTCTTAGAGAGGAATGAACTTCCTGAGTGGTTTTGTTTGGCTTTTTGATTTTTTTTTTTCCCCTAGCTCAACTGCACAGACACGCCCTGTGGTCCTGACAGAGTAGAGCTCTCCAAAGTGGAAATATTTCTAGGTCAGAGGGACTCAGCGCAGCAGCAGCAGCAGGAGCTCTCGGAGGATCTAGGGTGGTTCTGTTTGGAAAGGGGCTGAGATGCTCCTGATATTCCTGCTTGTTTTGGTTTGAAATGAATAACATGCAAATGAGCACCTGGGTCTGAGTCAGCAGTGAGTAACCCCCTCTGCGGGATGTGAGCCCTGAGCAAGCAAACGGGTCTCCCCAATGGCTCCGAATCCTGGAGGAGCCTCTCACTGGCCCCAACCCCTAGCCCCGACCCATGCCTGTTACACCTGGGTTCAGGCCAGCTGCTCGCTGCACTGTGCGTGCCCAGGCGCCCTGGCCTGCAGGCTCAGCTCATGAAACAGCCTCACTCAGAAGCCTGGGGTCTCTCACCGCCTGGGCCCTTGGTGCTGCAGACAGCATTGTTCCCAGGAAAACACTCCCTTCCCCTGCAGCTCCCTGCCCCCATAGAAGACAGGGACCCTGCTTGGTCAGTGGTAAATTCCCAATGCCTTTCACAGCAGCCCTCCACCCAGCCCTTCCTCCCAGTCCTGCCTCTCCGGAGAGCTGCTCCGCCATCAAGTCCTTTGCTCCAGGCCTGCGTTTCCACAGGGTCAGTTCAGCCTACACGAAATGTCCACACTTCTGTTACCCCAAACCGTTTTGTTTCCCTGTCTTTTCCCAGCTCGCTTTTTCTCTTCCCCTGAATCATGGTTTTTTAAAGGAATTAGTCTCTACGCCGCTCTCCTGGGACTGCTTCACTAAAAACCCAGTATTACACCCCCAACCTTGCCCATGTCTTCTCTCGGTGGGGTCCCCAGTGACCAGCGTCTGTGGTGTGCACTGCACCACCTGTATCCTTACCCAACACCTGCATCCTTTACCAGGTGACACCGCCCTTGCGGCTGAAGCATTTAGCCCCATTGGGTGTCTCCTTGACACTGTTCCTCTGGGCCCCCTTCCACCTCTTGACCACTCTCTAGACCCTTTTGGCTGCACCATCTCCATTTTACCCCCTTTGTACAGACTCCCCGTGATTCAGCTACCATCTGCGTGACTCATAACCACCATCTCTATGCAGAGAGTTCCTGTCTCTTTCTTTTAGCCATAGACCTCTATTTCCAAGTGTTTTACCTTCCTCTCTACAAATTTATCCTTACGGCACCTCAAAATATAAAACTCAGCTCACTATTTTGCTGTTGCATCAAATTCATTCTTTCTGAACTCCCTGATTTCACTAACGGCACCACCATCATCCATCCACTCATCCATCCAAATTTAAAACCTCGAAACAATGCTTTTCTCCTTCACCACGTCATGACAATTTTATCGTCTAAATAAGTCTTCCAAATTGTCCGCCTAGC